GGAATCTCTCGAGCTGTATTGTAGTTACATAGAATCTCTCGAGCTGTATTGTAGTTACATGGAATCTCTCGAGCTGTATTGTAGTTACATGGAATCTCTCGAGCTGTATTGTAGTTACATGGAATCTCTCGAGCTGTATTGTTATTACCCGGAATCTCTCGAGCTGTATTGTAGTTACATGGAATCTCTCGAGCTGTATTGTAGTTACATGGAATCTCTCGAGCTGTATTGTAGTTACATAGAATCTCTCGAGCTGTATTGTAGTTACATGGAATCTCTCGAGCTGTATTGTTATTACCTGGAATCTCTCGAGCTGTATTGTAGTTACATGGAATCTCTCGAGCTGTATTGTAGTTACATGGAATCTCTCGTGCTGTAATTTAGTTACATGGAATCTCTCGAACTGTATCGTGCTGTATTTTAGTTACATGGAATCTCTGGAGCTGTATTGTAGTTACATGGAATCTCTCGTGCTGTATTGTAGTTACATGGAATCTCTCGTGCTGTAATTTAGTTACATGGAATCTCTCGAACTGTATCGTGCTGTATTTTAGTTACATGGAATCTCTGGAGCTGTATTGTAGTTACATGGAATCTCTCGTGCTGTATTGTAGTTACATGGAATCTCTCGAGCTGTATCGTGCTGTATTTTAGTTACATGGAATCTCTCGTGCTGTATTGTAGTTACATGGAATCTCTTGTGCTGTATTGTAGTTACATGGAATCTCTCGAACTGTATCGTGCTGTATTGTAGTTACATGGAATCTCTGGAGCTGTATTGTAGTTACATGGAATCTCTCGAGCTGTATTGTAGTTACATGGAATCTCTGGAGCTGTATTGTAGTTACATGGAATCTCTGGAGCTGTATTGTAGTTACATGGAATCTCTCGTGCTGTATTGTAGTTACATGGAATCTCTTGTGCTGTATTGTAGTTACATGGAATCTCTCGAACTGTATCGTGCTGTATTGTAGTTACATGGAATCTCTGGAGCTGTATTGTAGTTACATGGAATCTCTCGAGCTGTATTGTAGTTACATGGAATCTCTGGAGCTGTATTGTAGTTACATGGAATCTCTGGAGCTGTATTGTAGTTACATGGAATCTCTTGTGCTGTATTGTAGTTACATGGAATCTCTGGAGCTGTATTGTAGTTACATGGAATCTCTGGAGCTGTATTGTAGTTACATGGAATCTCTCGTGCTGTATTGTAGTTACATGGAATCTCTTGTGCTGTATTGTAGTTACATGGAATCTCTGGAGCTGTATTGTAGGTACATGGAATATCTCGAGCTGTATTGTAGTTACATGGAATCTCTGGAGCTGTATTGTAGTTACATGGAATCTCTGGAGCTGTATTGTAGGTACATGGAATATCTCGAGCTGTATTGTAGTTACATGGAATCTCTTGTGCTGTATTGTAGTTACATGGAATCTCTCGAGCTGTATTGTAGTTACATGAAATATCTCGAGCTGTATTGTAGTTACATGGAATCTCTTGTGCTGTATTGTAGTTACATGGAATCTCTCGAACTGTATCGTGCTGTATTGTAGTTACATGGAATCTCTGGAGCTGTATTGTAGTTACATGGAATCTCTCGAGCTGTATTGTAGTTACATGGAATCTCTGGAGCTGTATTGTAGTTACATGGAATCTCTGGAGCTGTATTGTAGTTACATGGAATCTCTCGTGCTGTATTGTAGTTACATGGAATCTCTTGTGCTGTATTGTAGTTACATGGAATCTCTCGAACTGTATCGTGCTGTATTGTAGTTACATGGAATCTCTGGAGCTGTATTGTAGTTACATGGAATCTCTCGAGCTGTATTGTAGTTACATGGAATCTCTGGAGCTGTATTGTAGTTACATGGAATCTCTGGAGCTGTATTGTAGTTACATGGAATCTCTGGAGCTGTATTGTAGTTACATGGAATCTCTTGTGCTGTATTGCAGTTACATGGAATCTCTGGAGCTGTATTGTAGTTACATGGAATCTCTCGTGCTGTATTGTAGTTACATGGAATCTCTTGTGCTGTATTGTAGTTACATGGAATCTCTGGAGCTGTATTGTAGGTACATGGAATCTCTGGAGCTGTATTGTAGTTACATGGAATCTCTGGAGCTGTATTGTAGTTACATGGAATCTCTGGAGCTGTATTGTAGGTACATGGAATATCTCGAGCTGTATTGTAGTTACATGGAATCTCTTGTGCTGTATTGTAGTTACATGGAATCTCTCGAGCTGTATTGTAGTTACATGAAATCTCTCGAGCTGTATTGTTGTAACAGAGGTCATTTTTCATCTCAATTCCTCTGCTAGGAATCGAACCGGGACGCTCAACCAATCGAGCTAAAGAGAAGTTCTCTCTAGCCGAGTGGTATATTGCGCCTAGTATTTTACCAGGGTTACATACTCCCCCTCCAGGAAATAACTCGTCCTCGAGTTTCCAGTTGTTACAGCGATGCTGGTGGGGCATGGCTAACTACTATTCCCGGGTCCCTACATGGGCGCCAATGTAACAGAGGTCATTTTTCATCTCAATGCCTCGGCCAGGAATCGAACCCGGGACCTCTGGCTTACTTGTCTAACGCTTAACCAATCGAGCTAAAGAGAAGTTCTCTCTAGCCGAGTGGTATATTGCGCCTAGTATTTTACCAGGGTTACATAGTAGTTACACGGAATCTCTCGAACTGTATCGTGCTGTATTGTAGTTGCATGGAATCTCTCATGCTGTATTGTAGTTACATGGAATCTCTCGTGCTGTATTGTAGTTACACGGAATCTCTGGAGCTGTATTGTAGTTACATGGAATCTCTGGAGTTGTATTGTAGTTACATGGAATCTCTGGAGTTGTATTGTAGTTACATGGAATCTCTGGAGCTGTATTGTAGTTACATGGAATCTCTCGTGCTGTATTGTAGTTACATGGAATCTCTCGAGCTGTATTGTAGTTACATGGAATCTCTCGAGCTGTATTGTAGTTACATGGAATCTCTGGAGCTGTATTGTAGTTACATGGAATCTCTGGAGCTGTATTGTAGTTACATGGAATCTCTCGTGCTGCATTGTAGTTACATGGAATCTCTGGAGCTGTATTGTAGTTACATGGAATCTCTGGAGCTGTATTGTAGTTACATGGAATCTCTGGAGCTGTATTGTAGTTACATGGAATCTCTGGAGCTGTATTGTAGTTACAAGAAATCTCGTGGATGTCATAAGCTTGAACTTAAGTAGTTTGATTAATCAGTTTTTCTTTGCAATACGTATCAGCCTCGTTTTCAAAACTTTGTCATGAGTTTACTTCAAAGGAGCGTAGTGGAAAGTACAAGTTTTTTAATTTGATCAGTGAAACTCCAGTTGAAAGAATGAGATTTTTAGGGAACAAAGAACTAGAGGTTTGATGTGGTACAGTCACTCTTTAATCAATTTTATCAACATAATCAAACGACTAGTAATATCTTTGCTTGCATTTTCTCGCGCTGATCGGCGACATAAATCATTGGCAATATTAAAATTTCCAGGTATTCTTTATATATACTTACTTATATTTCTCTAATGGATTAATTTCACTCCTTATGCCACAGAAGAAATTTTAATGTTATCTGCATGAATAATTTCGACATGTGTGATCATTGATTTGGCTGTGATGATTGATGTTTTTTTTTTGTGTTCGCTAGTTTAAGCCATTCTAAGAAAATGACGGTCGACAATTATGCCATTTACACTGAGTGAGATACGACCAGGGTTAATGGACCCTATCTAATACAGACCTGCAAAAGTATTGTTAAATTTGTGAATGTTTAATTTTCACAGACAATTAAAGACGTATTAATATCAGAAAAAAAAACATACACAAAAGTTGTTATGGATCAGCGAGAATGTCGGAATTTCAAAATGTCTTCTTAAAACACCAAATACATAAATGTGCATGTATATGACGGCTTCCAGTGGCGCGTGAAGTGTGTTTAAATCATTACCTAAGATTTACTTTCAGATTTACTCTTTGCCTATCTGACCTTTTGTATTTCTTTGATCTTTAAAATTACATTATCTGAAATTAATACCTTTAAATGGTGTAATTTAATTTACAACATCGCACATTCCTTTATCGTTAAGAATTGGAGTTCAAAGACATCAATCGCAAAGCATGATCACATTTAAGTGATTATGTTTTACGAAAGAGTAATCACACGTTCAAATACATGCATTTGCAACTGAACAAACAACAAAAGAAGAATTTGTTAATTATAAATTAAGTAATAAAGACATAAATGTTGTTTTCCCGTATTTTTGTGGTGATATTCTGTATCATAAACCAGTTAACTATATTAATGTGTAGCTGTAATGTGGAGAACATAACCGAGATTTTAACGAGTAATAGATGTTTCGAACACGGGTCATAAAAAGTTCAGACTTTCTGGTAAACGCCTCTTAAGTGAAAGCATTCTTTCCTTTGTCCTTGTAGAGTAGCGCGTTAAGAATGTTTGTTCAAATGTCGGTGAGAGGTTTCGGATGTTTTTATCAGAAAGAAGAGGGTTTTCCTAAGTTATGTATCTTAGATACACTATTTCAGTTTTAAGTTATTCTAGACAAGAACAAACATGAACGAACATTATTAAAAAAAATATTAAACCTTTGACCGAAATCCTTAAATTGATTAATCTGCGTTTAGTTCGTAGTATATTTGTTTACATAATTCTCTTAGTAAACACATTTGTCAATATCTACTAGTGGAAATATGTACTACAAACAGGTAAGATTGAAATCGTTCCCCTTTAAAAATCTACTGAAGAGAGTAAATTCCATTCATGCTTTTCATACCAAATTATTAAAAAAAGTCCACCAAGGTCTTTGGAATATTTTTTCATCGTTTTAGAAAACAGCACGTGCATTGTATGCTGTAAATATCTGGAGTTAAAATATCATAATAACGTCTAACTAAAACTTGGCAAATTGAGACGTTGGACGTAAATAAAAAAAATACAACAAACAAAAAAATCATGTATGATGTTTTTTTACTAAAAAGTCAAAATAATTTACAACAATCATGTTTAGTTCAACAGAGTAAGAAACCTATTGCTTTTTGAACGCGAAAAGATAAAATAGGAATACGGCAGCACGTGCATAACACGATATTGTATCCATGATGAAATATTTACAACGATTTAACATGAAATCATAAATTAACAGAGTAACAAGTAATGAAAGCAACACGTAAATCAACAAGCATTTTGATTGAAAGTAATCATATATACATTCTATATTTCTGTACTAAGCAATGTACACTGGCCAGAATACAAATATACATAGTAGCCTAAATGCTCGTGATTAACAGCAGTCACGTGACGCTATCACAAAGGCATAATATTCCTGTAAATTCACACAAGTTCAGATTCCGGTTCACCCGAAATAGTTCAACACGGCACAATTCTTTATCACAAGTAGAACCGTTTTTCACAAAACAGATATTTTCACATATATGGTAATTCTTTCAGGGGGGTAAATATTACTTATGATATAAAGGGGATTTGTTTGAACGTATAATGAAATTTTAGAAATAATTACATCGTGATAAAAAACACTTCATTGACGAACTATATCCTTGTATATAGATATAAAGAATCGAGCACGATAATAAAAACAGTTTAGAACACATACGATTTGCTCACATTTAAAATAAACTACAGAAATATCAAAAAGCATATAAAGAGAAAGAAAATTTGCAAAAGAAAATTAGAAATTTGATCTATAAAATGTGCTGGCCTCAGAAACAACACAGCGACATACAAAAAATTTAATATAAATTACACTGTATTATGGAGGTGACAACATCGATACTTAATAACCGCGCGAATATTTCCGACTTAATGAAAAATAAACACAACACCAGTTAACAATGTAACAATTAGTTGTTTCAAGTATTGTTCTAAATATCTACTACCAAAGTAAGAGGAATCGTGAGAGAGAAAAAATCCTCTTGTATGTCTGATAATGAATTCTTTAATAGTGTTGAACTTCACTTCTCGTTTTATAGATAAATTACAACACGTTCTTTTCATTCTTTACAAGAAATTGACAATTGAAAAAAAAACATCAAAAATATATAGACAGATTGAATATCAATATATAAATATCAATATACATATTTAATTGCTGAAGGAATCAAATTTGTTATATTTATCTAAAACAAACAACTGAAGGAAAATTATCTTAACGTGTTGGTAAATGCAGACAATTCAATGTGTTAACTTCAGGAAATAAGAAAACGAATTCTTTGATAGCGAATATTGTACCCTGCTTCAGAACAGCTAAAGTTATTCACAATCTTACTGAGATTTTATAGAGCCTGGATGAATATACAATAAATTTGGATACTATGTAAGGAGGGGAAACATTTGGTTACCGAGATAAACAAACTAACACACTGTTCTAAGTTTTCCGCCAATTATAGCACTTGATAGCGAGACATATCCTCCAACTGAAAAAAAAACATGATGTTTTAAGAACTCGATGACAAATGAAAGTATATTTACTGACAACAGATCTACCATTTACATGTATTCTGTATAAAGTAAAAGCACGTTATCAGGTTCATACAAAACATGAAACGAAATGATGTGACATTGTAAAAGCAGTTTGTTGAAAGTTTTCGCATAATCCGTCCTTCGTTTAGTAGCGTCCAACTGCAACACCATTAGATCGATGCAAATTTAACTTATATGTCCTCTAGTTTCTTCATCTTTCAAATGCACCGATCGGAATACAATATTTCGGAAATTAAATAAAGGTTTTACAGCATAATGTGCATAAATGATAATTTCGACAATTACTCCAAAATAAGATAAGCTTTTAAACATAGCAATTTATAAATAGTATCTGAATGAGAGTTCTTTATACCCGCTGTTTAAAGTAAAAAAAACCAGCTATACGTAAAGGTTAAAACAAGCCTGGATATTTATCTGTTTTAAAGGGCAGCGTTTCCAATCCAAACACTTGTAGCTATAAAGCACCTGCTTTGTGTAAACGATACAAGATCGTTTCAATTAAATCTGGAAGTGAGAAGATGGACGTGAAATGTTTCTGAGTAGACGAATGTAAATGATGGCATTTATATAGTCCTGTGCTAATGACTTTCTGGCTGACGTATTTTTGCCAATAGCGCAGCAGAGGTTGGAAGCTGCAATGACCTCAGACACTGGTTGGGTCTTCCGATACTCATTTCCTTTGAACAAGTGGAATCAAACTCGCGTATGACATCACTAATCCATTCAGAAATAGTCCATACCGGAATGAAGAGAGATTCGGAGGTTTTTGAAACATAGTTCCAGTCTCCAAATCCAATCCCTGCGAGATTCAAATCGCCAGAATACCCCAAGAATAACGGTGATCCTGACAACAACATGTACTCACTGGCTCGTTTCTTTGATCCCTTGATTTTCACACACAAATAACTCGGATATTTACAGATTGATTGCATTTTGCCGTGACGGGGCTTTAGTTTGCTTCTGCCAGCACCAATTCTCGTCGACAACGTGATTTTAGGATAGATTTGAGAAATCATGTTAAATTGTTTTTCTGTCATCAGACAAGGAGATTCTATGTTGGATTTCTTATTCCGTGTATTGTCTAACCGTAATAGGGCCACGTTGTATTGTCTCCATGACGTCAGAGGATGACGTATTGCGCTTGCTACGGTACGCATTGACTTGCTTCGTCCTACTCGGATCTTAACACCAGTCATGGTGGAAACAAGATCGTCCTCGCCTACAACGTCACCAGATACCAGAGCCCAGTTGTCGTTTACGAGAATTCCGTTCCCCAGTACGTCCTTGCGTAAACTATCCATTATGGTCACGTGACGTTTCAGGATTTTTTTCTCTCCCAACCTACAATGAGATAAGAATCAAGTATGTAAGATATGTTACAGATGTAGAGACTGATATTTCTGAGAAATTCAAGTATCTATTTACATATTTTTGTCATGTAATACATATGCATATACACTTACTTCAAATGTCCTATTTCATATTTAACAGTAATTTCAGACAGACAATTGAATATCACGTTTGAAAACAATGATGGTACAAAAGACAGACAATTGAATAGCACCATTACATACAATACAGTTAGATACAGTAGGGTCAAACAATACATTTAACAATATAATAAAGGTGTTTCGTCCTTCTAGGTTTCGCTAGTGATGTTAAAGGCCTGAATTTTAAAGTCTAGGAGGCGTCTGAGGAAAATCCAAAGCGATCGAGAGATACAGCAGCTCCACTACTAAATAAATTTCGTAATTTTTATATATCAAATGTTTGAGAACAATGTCAAGCACATGGATATGTTCTAAATCTACGTTCTAAAAATAAACAAGAAAATACCAACATGTCAACATAATCATAATTCAAACTAAAAGTCAATAAAACTAGAGGAAAATATTAACAAAAGAAAGATTTACACACAGACTTCTAAAGACGTTCAATGAGAATAACACCAGGTGTTCCGGAAGAGTAAGCATCTTTAGCTTCATCGACGACAACAACAGGTAGAGAAATTATATTACAGGTATGTGATACTATACTAAAGCATGATTAAACAATGAAACACTTACTGGACATATTTATTTTTCTGCAATATGAAGTTCTTTGTAATAATGATCTGTATAATCACATTATATTTGAGTAAGTGTCTATGGCACTATAACCCACGTTCCTGTAAAATTAGCGTGTGATAACAACTAAACTTTGATATTCGGCCAAGCTAACCAAGCTCGATACAACCACTGGTCTGTGACAGTGGCACATTTCTCACGACCAAGGATGCTCGCATTAAAATATCTACATTTGTCATTTCGTTAAGAACTATAGGGAGACAAGTAACTCATAGAACCGACCCAGGATGACGGGAGTCAAAGTAACTCATAGAGCCGAGCCAGAATGACGCGAGTCAAAGTAATTATTAAAACCGACCCAGAATGACGGGAGTCAAAGTAACTCATAGAGCCTACCCAAAATGACGGGAGTCAAAGTAACTCATAGACCCGACCCAAAATGACGGGAGTCAAAGTAACTCAAAGAGCCGACCCAGAGTGACAGCAACCCTTGGCTCATCAACAAGTACGTTTTGTTAAATACATTATGTTGACAAAATGACAAGAAACCTACGGGCGACATAAAATTATCTTGATATCCATGTCTATTGTATATAAATGTTATCGCGGAGTAACAAATGTTTATAAATTAAAGTATATCATCCCCCGACGTCTCTTTGACCCTTAACATCACCAACGAGTTTTAGAACGACGAAACATTGGTTAATACAGCTTATTTATCTCTTTATCCACTGAATTTCATTCTAAATGTGTGTCTGTTTAACATTCTTATCCCTATTGTTACTAGTCCTTATCTATGTCTATATATGTAAGTGCTGACAGCGTTGAAAATGTCAAAAAGAGATGCAGTCATATAGTTATACAGCGTACAACATTACCGCTATACTAATATAATACCAACGTAATCGTTCTGTAGTTATTTGTAGCTTCAATGTGCTTAACACAGAGGGGATGACAGTATGAACTTTGAAAGTTAAAATGTTATTCGGAAGTGATATACAAACATTTTATCAAATAGGGACCTCAACCAGAAAGGCTATACAAACCTGTTGTTAAAGAGGTACCTTACCGGAAGTGATATATATAAACCTGTTGTTAAAAAGGGGACCTTACCAGAAGTGATATATAAACCTGTTGTTAAAAAGGGGACCCTACCGGAAGTGATATACAAACATGTTATTAGATAGGAACCTTAACCAGAAAGGCTATATAAACCTGTTGTTAAAAGGGGAACCTCATGCGGAGGTGATACAGTGTTAGAGAGGAGTCTTACTGGAAGTGATATACAAACTTTTTGCTACAGAGGGGCCTTGCCGGAAGTGATACACAAACCTGTTGTTAAAGAGGAACTTTACCGAAAGTGATATACAAACCTGTTGTTAAAGAGGGATCTCATCCGGAAGTGACTGTCGTCACACATGAACGATCCTTGATCACCATGGGTATCGGTGACTTCACACGTTAAGTCGTTGGGATCAAGATCTCGAATCTGGTAAATAAAAAATATCACATTACATATCCTTCGTGGTATAAGGAAAAGACAACACAACGTTGTTAGTGAAAGTTAATTTTGAGTGACCTGGGTGTATAAGGTAGACAGTGATAATACATTATCTGGAGTTAGATAAAAGTAAATTAAAAACAACTTGGGCACATTAGAGCAGTTTCCGGAAGCTTTGTCATTTTTATGATAAGTCTAAGATCACACCGCTTTATGGCCTCTAAACTTGGACTTGTATCATAAAGACATAATGTCAAGTACCACTTCATAAAGTAAATGCATTTAAATAACTATCATCTTTAAATAGCATTATTGGCAATTAGTGAAATAGCTCAAGCCCTAGCAATGTTGGAATAATTGTTCATGAATTAATGAATTTGCTGAGACACGGACTACAATATATCATAAGAAACAAGCCAAAAATTACCCTGAGTCCGTGGAGGCGGTTTGGCAGTTTGCAGATAAGGTCACTTTCCATGTCAAGTCTGATCTTCCTGGTAAGCACCGGATCCAAAATCCACTTCATATTACAGTCACAAACAAGCGGATTTCCGGTCAGACTTAAGATGGACGACGCTGCTAAGATCTTGGTGACATCTTGTGTGACTGTGTTAATCTTGTTGTCGGTCAGGATAAGGTCCCGGAGCCGCAGTTGAATATTCCCCGACAAATCCACCCAGAAAAGATGGTTGCTACTAAGATCAACGATCGACAACTTCGGTAGGTTGGTTATGTAGGTAAAATTGAAACCCATCAAACGGTTGCTTTTTAAAGTGAGCTCGACTAAGTTTTGCATATAGCGAAAGGCGAGAGGAGATATTGACGTGATACTGTTTAAGGACAGATCAAGCTCCTCCAGTTCGCTCATTCCGGATAGCATAGTGTCAGACACACGTCTTAATTTGTTCTGAGACAAATCCAAATTAGTTACTTTCTGCAAGTTTTTGAAAACCCCATTGTTGAGATTTTTAATTTTGTTATCACTCAGGTCTAACGCCTGAAGGTTCCAGAAGTTTGACAGAGCCATGCTATGTATACGCTTGATTTTGTTGTGACCTAAATTCAAAGTTCTCAATTGCGGAAGCGAACTCAATGCTGCTGCCGAGATTTCCTTAATGGCGTTGTTTTGTAGACTGACCGCTGTGATCTTTGACACGGAAGTAGAAGGTGTAGTCTTGAAGGCGTCCTCACCAACAGTTTTAATAAAATTGCTATCAAACGATATTTCCTTGAGTTCTGACAGTCCGAACAAAACTCTCGGAGGAAGTGCCATTATTTTATTATGAGACATATCGAGATATTGAAGAAGCATGAGAGATCGGAGAACACCAGTGCTTATCTCCGTGATATGATTTCGTGACAGATCAAGCCTTGTCAATCTCCGTAAGAACGTAAAAGTGCCGTTTTCGATGTCGACTATATTGTTTGATGATAAATACAACTCCTCGAGAGATTCAAGGTCAAGCAGTCCTTCTTTTGTGATATGTTCGATATCGTTGGTGGCCAGATCGAGAATTCTAAGATCTCTCAAGTTTCTGAAAGCGCCATCTTCAATTTCAGCGATGTGATTTGCAGATAATAAAAGTTCTTCGAGGTTAAAAAGGTTAACAAAAGAGTTGGACTCGATGCGCGTGATGGCGTTTCCACGCAATGAAAGACTTCTTAACAAGATCAGTTTTTCGAACCATCGCGCTCGAACTGTCCAGATTCTGTTTCCGTTCAGCAGAAGTTCTTCCATGGCTGTGTTGTCATCAAACACTTCATCATAAAAATCAGTAAAATTGTTCCTTGATAAATCCAAAACGGCGACATTCGTCAGGGGACTCAGTATGTCACGTGGTAGACGACGAAGTTTATTGCCGTTCAAACGGAGTTTCCTAAGGTTACCCAGGGGACGGAAAATAGCTTGTGGTAAGTATCTGATCATGTTATCAGACATACTCAGTTCGGAAAGGTAGGTCATCCCACTAAAGGCCGCCGCGGAAAGATGGCGGATGTTGTTATTGGGTAGAGACAGCACGCGCAGTGTCCTCAGCGACGAAAATATGTTGGGGTACAGAATCCCAATGTTATTTCCACTTAGAGTCATATCCTGCATGCGTGCATTTCCTCGGAAGGAGTCACGAGTTATGTACCGGATCTGTGTGTCGGAGATGAGCGGGACACGGTCGTTTTGGACACCGTCGCCAGCAGGAACAGATGGACGTGCAACTTGACTGCTACTGTCACCGTATATAGTCATTTTTGTAACATCTGGAAAACATAAATCATAATTAATAGACACTTGTATCGTAATTTATTACTTTAAATAATTTTAACATAAAAAAAAAAAAACAAAATTGTACTTAGAAAGCTTTGTTATGTCACTCCTATTCTAGAACTTAAAGAAACTTAAGGAAGTAGTATTTCAGTAGTGCCATAATTCACATAAAATGTTTTTAGAATTACGTTGTCGGTAACCTTCTGTTCCTACCCACAATACCAAAGCATTCCCTTCTTGTTTGGTGTATGTAATAGTTTAAATAGCATTTCAGGTTTATCAGCGGAAATCATAGTGTAGAACGTCAGATTCAAGAAATGTCATGTTAACTTTAGATCTTGTTTTCTGGAGAAGAAACAAATGTTCCCAAACACCACTAAACATCGCTTGAGTGAATTTTAAAAGGCCATCCAAGTCCGCAAACCCCTATTTCTTTTTAAAATGGGTTTTTGTAAGACCTTGCTGTCATGACCGTTCCGTTAGGCTGTTTATTTCTCTGACAGACTGCGCGTACTTTTGACGATATGTACGACTATGAGTTCGTTCTCTAACGGAGGCTTTACTAAGTATCGTAACGTCATATCATGTTAGCAGCTCGTGACGGGAGTTACGTCAGGCCGAGCGCACATCTGACATCTCAATAAGAGCGAAACAGATCAAAGCTGTCTGGTAGGAGAGTTTACAGACGTCTAGCTGCAACTCTGACGAATATGGATTTCTGCTCTGCGTTTCTTCAATCTTGTAACATGTCTTAGATACAAGAATATCCCAGGCAGGTACATACACGATAAATCATAAAATATCTTCTGTAAAAAATTAATGAATGACCGCATCTGGGCGAAACTGAAGAATGGCTGCTATGCCAAACAGCCATCTTTCTGGCGACGCAATGCAATGTCGGGTGTCTAGGACGATGGCTGCCGTTGCGGTATGACAGGAACGACAGATACAACTATTTTAGCTTGACAGGAGTCAGGGTCAGGTTGAAAAAAGATGATCCCGCTTTATATATACTGGACAAAATAAGTTAAGGATCATAAATTGTGACCATAATATCTTTAAAAATTCAAATCATGTATTGCCGGTAATTGCACTCGTAGTTTCTCCAATATGTACCTAAAGTCATGTCAAAGGTGAAAGCACGTGCATCTGAAGGTCTTGCCGTTCCGCTCTAGTTAACTATGGTGGTGTGAAAAACAGACTGGTCTATTACTACAGAGGAATCTTGCAGGTTTTGATTCTGTTACTTCTAAGCTAAAAAAAGTTGAATTTGGAAACATCTAATGAATTTGTAACGAAAACTTGAAAAACTAATCATGCGAAGACACTTAAATGATATGGAAGCCGCGCGAGCTATAGGGCTCCTTCAAGCTGGTCAAACTCAACGAAATGTGGCGGCAAAGCTTCATGTTTCTCAGAGCGTGATTAGTAGGCTATGGAATCGCTATCAACAGACAAATAACGTCCGTCAACGCCCCAGATCTGGACGACCACGCTGTACGACAGCCCGACAGGACAGATTCATTTGCATCACGGCACGACGTCAGCGGTTTTTGAGTGCTCCTGTCTTGAATCTTCAGTTTCAGCGTGCTACAAATCTAAGGATTTCATCCCAGACAATCAGAAACAGACTCCATGCCTCTAATTTACGAGCTAGAAGACCAGCAGTCCGACCAATTTTATCCAGAGGTCATCGACAATCCAGACATCAATGGGCCACTCATCATTTGAATTGGCAATTACGTCATTGGAGAAATGTTATGTTCACAGATGAGTCTAGGTTTTGTGTTGACTTCCATGACGGTAGGAGGAGGGTATGGAGAACCCAAGGAGAGCGCTATGCAGACTGCTGTGTTGTCCAGCATGATCGCTTTGGTGGTGGGTCAGTGATGGTTTGGGCAGGGATCAGTGTTGACTTCCATACAGACCTCTACATCATAGACAATGGATCTTTAACAGCACACGAAACACCCTATAGTAAGGCCCATTGCAGGAGTTGTTGGCCATGATTTTATTCTGATGGATGATAATGCTCGTCCTCACCGTGCTCGTGTGGTCAACGACTATCTTCAACGTGAAGCAATCGTTCGCATGGACTGGCCAAGTCGTTCTCCTGATCTGAACCCTATCGAGCATGCTTGGGACACCTTGCAACGCCGGGTTTCAGCTCGCCACAGAACCGCCAACAGCTTATGATTGCTCTGCAAGAGGAATGGCAGCGCATCCCACAGATCAGCCACCGACGACTAATAAGGAGCATGTGCAGACGTTGCAGGGCAGTTATTGATGTCAACGGAGGTCATACTGCCTATTAAACTGCCAATTGCAGTTTGATGAGTTTTCCTTGTCTACATGATTAACTTGCTCTACTTCCTCTTACACTTTGATTTCAAGGGTGCTGTTACTCAGGGTTATCTGCTCTTGGTAGCAATTACCACAAATGAATTTGTTTTGTGTAATTAAAGACTAAAATGAATGTTCTGTCATTAAAATTTAAAATATAATCATATTATTATTTGTATGTAAAACTGCACTGTTTCAAGTTTATGATCCTTAACTTATTTTGTTCAGTATATATTACCGGGGTCTGGTTGACAGGAGATCTCGCAGTATACAGACATAATGAACTAAGGTCGGCTTGACAGAAGGCAATAATGCTGTAGCTGTACAAACATAATGCACTGAGAGTGGGTTGACAGGAAACCCTGTTGTACAAAGTAACAATGTACCGGGTTCGTGTTGACAAGAAACCCCGCTGTACACAGAAACAATGTACCGAGGGCGGGTTGACAGGAAACCCCGCTGTACACAGAAACAATGTACCGAGGGCGGGTTGACAGGAAACCCCACTGTACACAGAAACAATGTACCGAGGGCGGGTTGACAGGAAACCCAACTGTACACACAAACAATGTACCGGGTTCGTGTTGACAAGAAACCCCGCTGTACACAGAAACAATGTACCGAGGGCGGGTTGACAGGAAACTCCGCTATATACAGAAACAATGTACCGAGGGCGGGTTGACAGGAAACCCCACTGTACACAGAAACAATGTACCGAGGGCGGGTTGACAGGAAACCCCGCTGTACACAGAAACAATGTACCGTGGGCGGGTTGACAGGAAACCCCGCTGTACACAGAAACAATGTACCGAGGGCGGGTTGACAGGAAACCCCGCTGTACACAGAAACAATGTACCGAGGGCGGGTTGACAGGAAACCCCGCTGTACACAGAAACAATGTACCGAGGGCGGGTTGACAGGAAACCCAACTGTACACACAAACAATGTACCGGGTTCGTGTTGACAAGAAACCCCGCTGTACACAGAAACAATGTACCGAGGGCGGGTTGACAGGAAACCCCGCTATATACAGAAACAATGTACCGAGGGCGGGTTGACAGGAAACCCCACTGTACACAGAAACAATGTACCGAGGGCGGGTTGACAGGAAACCCGGCTGTACACAGAAACAATGTACCGTGGGCGGGTTGACAGGAAACCCCACTGTACACAGAAACAATGTACCGAGGGCGGGTTGACAGGAAACCCGGCTGTACACAGAAACAACGTACCGAGGGCTGGTTGACAGGAAACCCCGCTGTACACAGAAACAATGTACCGAGGGCGGGTTGACAGGAAACCCCGCTGTACACAGAAACAATGTACCGAGGGCGGGTTGACAGGAAACCCCGCTGTACACAGAAACAATGTACCGAGGGCGGGTTGAAACCCCGCTATACACAGAAACAATGTAGCGAGGGCGGGTTCTAAGGAGGAGACCTCACTGACCACAGATAAACAGAGATATGTTTACTACGTATCTGTATTAGATGTGACATGTGTTTCCCACACGCCACCTGGTGCGCATGCATTTGTTCATAATGTTACGGTTTCCGATCAAGATGGCGACAGCTGACAGATTCACAAAACGTGCTTTCAAGACCTTCAATCTAAGCAAGGTTATGGATAGTTTCGACTTCACGATAATTAAGAAATAGATCCTTTTGATAAATCAGGGTGAGAATGTTTGCTGCATGTTGGTGTGGACCCTGGTTTGAGGATACTAACAAAACTTTGACTTGAAACAAGACACAATTGATATGAATTGACAAAGATTTACATTGAGAATGCCTTTCGGAACATGCAAACTGTTTAACGTATTTCTTTTTTTCATAGTTCGTCTTCGTTTCATCAATTGTTACGTTGAAACTCAGTTGACAAAGAGATATTTCCTTGTTGGTTTAGAGTACTAAAGTAACAATGCGCGTTAGTTTCCGATAATTAATCGCATCGGCAATACATATATCACATCAGCCAACAGATAAAAAAACAACATCAAAGCATTAATTGGACCAGTCTTACAGAAGTAATATATTTACACTATCATATTACATAAGTAATGTTTTTACACTATCATATTACACAAGTTATGTATTTACACTATCATATTACATATCATACCGGACTTCAACAATAAACTACATCAAGCTTGATTTTATTGAAATCACAATTTGACAGAAAGTTCTAATAGTGTAGATTGTCACGATAATGTCCGTCGATTTTTTTATTAATACTGTTGGAGACAGAGGCCCGCTCGCTATGCCTGATTTGTCTTGGTAGCTTTCACATATTACTGAACAACTATATTATTGTCTAGTAGTTATACATATCGTACATTGATAGATCACAAAACAACCCGCATCAATCATAACATTGGATTAATAACGCATTGCTTACATCACGGATAAATAGGTAGATCATGTTGATCAAAGTACGACCGATATGTCACGAGAACTCGTCCATCAACGGTAACCAATGAAATATCTCCATTCTACCCCTGAACACATTAAGTATTTATGAAACAGATTTCCGTTATACAGGTGCTGAAAATGCCAATCTGTTAAACGCTTAATGCGATATACATATAATTAGTAAACATGTGTCAAACGGAAGATATTCTTCACACAGTTACCGAGATTGTAGCGTCATC